CGGGATCGCTACGTGCCCGGACCGAGACACGCGGGTAGCGTTACCGGCATTCGTCTCCTCTTCCCCCTTCTCATTCCGTGTCTCCCCTCCCGACAGCTTCTCCTGGCCCTTCTCCGCCTCCCCCTTGTCCTTCTCCGGCCCGGCTTTGTTGCCTTTCTGGATCGCCTCCATCTTTGGTCCCAGGACACGCGACTTCAACCGGGTGTAGACTTCGGCAGCTTTCTCCATCACGTCCTTGTTTGCTTTATAGCGACGGATCTGCATCAGAAAGAGGGGGGAGGGATGCCCTTAGAGCTGGGGTGGCTCGCTCGCTCCGTCCAGGCAGGGGCTCAGCCCTCCGCCCTACCTTCTTCAGCGTAGCCACCACGTCGGTGTGCTTCTGGAGGATGTGAGAGGTGACCTGGAGCGTGCCCAGCTCCTCTAGTGCATTCAGACACCGCTTGATGTCCTGCAAGGATGGCACCAAGATCAGAAGCTGCCTGGAAGTCTCCCTGTGGGCCCCCCAGGGCAGCGCCGTGTGGAGCAGAGTCCCCTAATGCCACCCAGCACCCGGAAAGGCAAGAGGAGGCTCGGCCGGGCTGAGCACCCCCAGGGATCGCAGCCTGACGCGGTGGCCGAGGACACGCCGAGCAGGGACCTCCCAGGCCAGGCCCAGGCTCTCGGGCACTCACCGGGTTATCCACCTTCAGGGCAAACTTGATCTCGCTGTGAAGTTTCTGAAGCTTCTCTTCGACTGTGGGCTCTGGAGCAGCAAGAGAGACAGGTCGAGACATCAGGCCACCAGCGGAGAGCACGGCATGGCCCCGAGCCCAGGGCCTCTCCCCCAAGCAAGGGTTTGGTTTCCTCCTGCACCTCCAAGGTCCAGCACATCCCCGGGGGCCTCTCTGAAGAGGATGGGTTGGGATATGCCAAGATCGGGACGGGATGTGGATACAGGGAAGCTCACCGTCTCTGCACGCCCTGTAAACGCTTTCCAACACGATGCTGGGACCACAGTGGTGCTGGGAAGGGCCCTGTGGGAAAGATCCCTCCCCTGGGACGGGGGAACCCACCCTGGATCCTTTCTCTCCTTCTCATCCCCTCGGTGACAGCAAGCAACAGCTCTCTCACCCTTTTTCTTCTCCATCCTCCTTTCGGGCATCAGGTCAGATTTCTTCCGGCCTCGTTCCACTTTCAAAGGTCTGTGGGAGGAAAAGGAAAGAGGGGAGGTGGTTTGGGTGAAACCTCCTGCTCGCCGCTGGGCTAACAAGAAGGGTGACGGCACAGGTCGGTGCATCCCC